ACTATCAGTTTCATAATCATTGAAATATATTTAGAATAAATAATCCATCGTCAAGTTTAAGATTAAATAAACCTACCACATAATTGTACATAAATAAATAAAACAATTCCTAAGAGGCTTACATTCATTTTCATTTTATAATTTTCTTAGCCTCACGTTGAAGGCGCTTTATTTCCTTTTCCTCTTCTCTCCTCTTCTTCTTTTAACTTAGATATGCCTTCCCTTGCTTGCTTGTAATTACTGAAGGAATTCTTTATTTTATTTTCCTTTTTTTTATTTTTGAGCCTTGTTTTGGCCAAAATGGATTTCTCTTAAATGGCGAGTGAACATTAGGGCTGAAAACAAATTTTTTTGGAGTTTTTTCTGAGTGTGTGTTTGACACACTTCCTTCTGTTGCTCCTTCTGTTGTCGCTGGATACTCGACGGCGACCACTTGAATCATGCCAGTCTCTGAACTCCCCTCAATTACTTCATGAACCCCGACATATCTCGTCCATATTCGTGATAATGCTGAATGTGGGGTTGTCAAGGTCAGGTTCATTTGCTTCTCCCCCTTCCTGTACATTATCTCCAACTCCACTTTCGTCCAGTATCTCCCCACTTAGCTGCCCTATCATTTCATCTCCCAAAACAATGTCCTGCTCGGACAGGTCGAAGATGTCTTCAGATTGAAAAGTATCGTCATCTTCCCCAAGTTCTTCATTAGGTTCTTGTACAATTTGTAAGTCACCATCTGGGTCTTCGTCTTCGCTGGATTGGCCAGTCAAACATTTAGGGGTTTCTGTCTTTTTTTCAACTCATTTTTTAGCTGGACAAGTTCATCAACTGTCTTTCTCCATATGTCAAAGAGAGATTGGTCGGTAAGAGAACTAACATGTACAAAGTGTTTAGAGGAAGCTAAGTGCCCTCACTACGGGCTAGGAACCATCACTGTAGAAAAAGAAGCACGACCGATTCCTGAAGCCTGCGTTCTACCAGTATCTTTTTATTTTCGCTAGCCTATTTATTTTCAATATACTTAAAATTTGGTTTAACTTAAAAAAATGTAAATAATAATCTTTAAAAGTTAGAATATGACTCACACATTTTAGGTCCTTTAGCATGGATATGTAAAAAAACTTGAGGTCACTTAACTACATAACATTTTTTTAGTATTAATTTTCTTTTATTACAAATGTAACATTTTTACAATAGTAAAAATGTTTTTATTAACACAGTTTGCAGGAAATGTACCAACTAAACAGCCAAGTAAAAAACTAAGATATGAGGAGGTCTACTCGGATTCAGAGGAAGAAACTTCTCAACCCGAACTTCTCAAATTTGAAAAAAATAAATCTGATAAGGAGGAACCTTTATGCAATTCTAATTTAGAAATTCATGATTGGTGCTTAGTAAATTATGATAATGAACTTTTCCCTGGTGAAATACTGCAAAATCTGATTCAAATCAGTATTAAGTTAGCTGTATGGTAAAAGCTGTGAAATACTGGAAATGGCCTTCAAAACCAGATATTTTGCTATATTCACTCGAGGATATAAAGTGTAAATTTTCACCACCACATGTGGTAAATGCTCTCGGACATTTTAAATTTGAAAAACTGTTTAAAATAATTGAGTTTTGCTAAAAGGTTTTCCAACGTATTATTAATTTAATTTCAGTGAGCAGCACTTTTTAGACTAGTGTTGAATATGACTCAAAGTTAAGCGATCTATATTTTTTATGAGGTTGTATATAATTCTGACAGCGGGTTTACCTTACTGATTGTAGAAGTTCTAAAGTGTTAACTTGCCCTGATACATGATATAAACACTGGGGGTGATAAAAATTACCCAAGGTATTTTATGGACACATGTTCTACGCAACATTTAAAAATGCATGTTATTTTAAATGTTATTATGTTCATTTAACTATAAAGTTAAGTTTAATAAAGATATCAACTTCAGTTCAATGGTCTCTTCATTCAAACTTTCATCAAGCTTATTTTTAAATACCTAAAAACAGTTTAGTTTAAGTAACAATCAAGTAGCATTATATCACCTCCGTGAAAAAGTCTCTCACCTCCGTGACAGTGGAAAATTTTAAAACCAAATAATTCACAAAATACTTGGTACACTTTGTAACCATAGTTGCCACTATATTTGTCAGGTATTTTTCCAACAAGTGCATACTAAAAAAAGTGAAAATTAAAATGTTTGAAATACAAAAATGTGACCTCTAAAATTGCACATTTTTGTAGAATGATCCACTATAAAAAAATAACAAAAATTTTGCGTTAGAAAATTTTACTTAAAATAGTGCATAACCTTGTTAACCTTAAAGAAGCAAATAGCTCATGAGGTAGTTAAAATGCTTCAGTAAACACAGTTATATCTACATAACCAAAGCTTAATAAGCAATATTTTTCACTAAATTTCAAGTAAAATTTTAAGATATTACAAACAAGCTTTACTTTTATAGAATCAACATCCAATTGTGTTCCCTCCAAACTCAACTATTGCACAACTACTTTTGCTGGTTGGAGAAGATCTGTCAGTTTTTTTTTCTGTTGCCAACTGAGCAAAACAAAATTTCTCTCATTTTGTCCAAAGTCACCCTACTGCCTAAAGACACTCGATTTTACGTACAAAATGCATGTTCTCTTTAACACCTTTCTGCCTCTCAACAACTCACACTTTGCATTATCTCCTTTGGGGATGTTTCTGAAATAAGCTTCAAAACCTTTAGCTTGTTGACACATAGATTCATGTTTTTATGAATTTTACACTAGCAGGTATGCATTATGCAAGTCTTTCACTACTGGTTTGACAATCTAAAATGGACGTAGCCGACAAAATGTTGCGTAGCTTACTTTTTATACTTTGTGTTTTCCTTCAGACATTCTATGAGTAAATATCATTCATGTAACGCCCTTGCTTTTTTATTTTGTCTAGTGATTTTGTCTTTTTTGCCAGGAGATAAGCGGCTGTTTTTGTCTTATTCAAGAAAGTCACAGCCATCTTAACTATTTAATCGCCCGGTCAATCATTTTCTGGCTGTAATATCCATAATATTGTTTGATTTGTTTATAATGTCATGCTCTTATAAGCAAATCAGATCAGTCAATAACTTATTCATCTAAATCACTCTATCAATAACTGACCACTCACAAGTCACACTAATTGGTGTTTGGAATTTTTTTATTTAACTCTTTCCATGTTTTCAGCAACCTGACGCTTAGGAACTTCCACAAAGAGAAGTTTTCTTACGAATCAAGATTTTTTTTCTCACCTTGTTTAAGTAATTGATGAATAGTTTTTCTACATGTTCTCTGAGTCATTGTATTTTGCTTAACTTGTTTGGTTCTGAACCTCTGTAACCTTTTCTTGTATCTATTTAACCATCTTTGTAATTGTTTAATTTTTTTTCATAACCTTTCATTTTTCTTTTAACACTCTCCCTATTTCTCCTTGCAGTCTTTTCCCCAATGGCTTGAGGTACTTAGTTTGCATTTGGAGAATTATTTGGTATGTTAACCTTAACAAAGTTTTTGGCTTCTGTTGCTTTTCTACAGTTGTTGCTGTGTGTTTTCGCCCAAGTATGCCATGTCTTCTATAGTTTTCTTTTTTCTCTTTCACTTAATTGATTAATACTGCGAGCTTTTCCTACTTCTCTTCGCTTATGCCACACCTATCTCTCTCTTTCATCTTAGCAGCCTCGTGCATTTCTGGGTTGGATTTTAATTTTTCTCTTTCTCTTCTCATACTTAGTTTTTTGTTCTTTCCTCCGTTATATATATCAATATTAGCCGTTTTTCTTGCCAATGTAACTACAAATGTAATTACAATTTAGGAGTTTGGTTTAGCTAAGATGTAGTAGGCCTGATAATAAAAGTTTGGGTAATTTGATTAGATTTAAACATCTACAAATAATCATGTTTTGAAATTCAGCCATTTTTTCATAAGTCTCATCTATTTACTGGGGCTAAAAATTCGTGTATGTGCACTAGGTTTCTTAATAGGCGCCATCTGGAAAGTAAAAGGTTAAATTTGGTTTATTGTTTAAGGTATCTCTTTCCTTTATAATAAGATTTACTTTTTTTACTAGCCTATTATTTTTGACGCAAGATAAATTAAGTACCAAATTAATAAAATCGTTTTTCAAATTATTTTAGTAGATTAATCATCAAAACACACATTTTATTAGCATGCAGTTTTAATAATTCAAGCCTTGTTTTATTTGCTTGTAGATCTTTCCTCAATAGAATCTATTCTTATAAATTTTAGATTGTCGCAGGTGTAATTTCTAAGTAATGTTTTTGTTCTTATGTGCGGTTAATCGGCGTCTTTAACAGACTAGGTAATTACACCGCCCTATTTAACAGTTTTCTTACCAAACATTATGTTTTATTTTTGTCACACTCCCTCTTTCTCCCTCTAATGACCTAAAATATAGAAAGGTCAGCTAGTTGTACGACCCAGTTGATGTCACATCGTTAATACCGTAGTGATACTCCCCATCTGTTTCAAAGTTGTGTGGCTTTAAGTTTACATTATTGCGGTTTTATTGTACAGACTGAAAAGTTTCTAAAAGGTGCCACTTTACACAGCCAGTTTAGGCCTAATACTAACACGTTTTGTTAACTTCTTTAAACATCTACGCGGACCAAAATGCAAAATGATTTTTTGAGAAATTATTTCTCTCTAGTAAATAGTGCTCTCTACATGATTGCGGCATTTCCTGAAAAAAGGTCATTTACGACGAAATTGAAATCTTTTTTGTACAACAAAGTATGGCCTTTCGTGTTTTTCTCGTTCTGGGTTCCCTTAATGCTAATGACAGTCGCTAAAGCGGCCCAGTTTGTTAATCAGCAGAAGTGGGATGAATTTTTGGAAGTGATGCATATGTATTTTTTAGGGACAAATACTTTGTACGTTATCATTGCAGTACAGAAAACCGCCATTTACTACAAGACTTGTATGGATATAGTTAGATCACAATTTTTCGCCACAAAGAGGGTGAATATGAGGAAAACTAAGCTGTACGTTGGATTTTTGATCACTTTCGTGGTTTGTTACATTTTCAAAGCAGTTTCTTGTGTTGTTTATCGTGAACTGTCGTTCCAAGTGTGGGTGCCGTTTGTGAACAACAACGAGAAACTTTCAACGCGCGTTTTCACTGTTATTGGTTTCTACCAAATTTTAGCAGCGATTTGCCTTTTTATAGTCAACGGAATCCTCTCGCCATTTGTAATCGTTTTAACCAGTGCCGTAGTCGAAGAAATACACTACATCATAGAAAGATTAGATCGCGTAGTTTATAGGTCCAAGGAAACTAAACCCACGAGTTCCCCTGGAACGCAACTATCAGATGTAGGACGAATATCATTAGAGAGGAAATATCGAAACAGTGTTGAAACAGACACGTCGTCCACTTGCACTACAGAAGAGCAAAGCAGATCTTTTATTCGCAACATTGTGTCGCACCATTTGATTGTCAAGTCGTTGATACAGAATGTAACCAAGATCCACAAGTATGTGTTTTTGACACAGTTTGTATTTACAATCAGCCATTCATGTTTCTTAGCGTTCAACGTTTATTACACGAAGAACCACACCAAGATTCTGGTCAAGTACAGTCCCTACCTGCTGCTCTCATATTACTTGCTGTACATTTTCTGTCACAACGGCCAACGACTCAGTGATGCTTGTGAACGTTTATTCTACGCCTTCTGCTGGTAAATAACTTATAATTAAAGTTTATCATAGAGTAGTACACGTTAACCGCTTGAGCCGCAAAGTAGATGACAGATGAATGGGTCGGGGGAAGAAGATAACAGGCATTTCAAAAATGTTATACTATAAATTTAACTATTATACTATAAATAAACAAACTTCCAAGACCGGTAACAAATGTATATTTTGTGATGATTATTTGGCATAGTTTTTAAAATAAAGATTATTTAGTGGTTAACAAAAGGAACATATTTATTTCTAATAGAATTTGATTTTAAATTGAACACTTAAATAAAAGTACTCTAGGCTATATAAAAATGTTACAAAATAAATTATGTGTTTGATGGTGGTTCGTGGTCCTTATGTGGGTAGTAGCTTTTGGATATACTCAGCTGTTTCTGGTCTCCAAAAACCTTTTAGAGTCTGGAGATCTTGGTATTTTTTATAGTCGTGTTGAGGTCTGACATGTTTCCTAATTTTTGTCTGATTGGCTGTTGTTTATTATCCTGTAGTTTACATTACTTATACTTGTGTTCTGATACAGGTGTCCATGGTACGATTTCCCAGTCAGTTATCGCAAGTCACTGTTGATTGTCGTAACAGCTGATGAACTATCTGCTTTGCAGTCATTTAACCTTACTTATACTTGTGTTCTGATACAGGTGTCCATGGTACGATTTCCCACTCAGTTATCGCAAGTCACTGTTGATTGCCATGAGTGCTAACCTACAACCCACCGCGTTGACTGGTGGTGGACTGTTCAAAGCAACACTTGCTACATTTGTGCATGGTCTACAGCAATCCGTGTCTTATACTCTTCTCTTGAACCAAGTGGCTCCAGAAAATAGCTCACTGTAATTAACCTTGATCAACAGATATCCATTTTTTTCATCAAGAGTTTGTATTGAAATTGTAAATAATTGTTGATTGTTCGTGTTGCATCAGTAGGCCTATGTTTACACATAGTCTAAATAATCATTTTACTATTGTAATAAATTAAAAAAAGTATGTTGCACGTTCACAATTATTCCCATTTTTTCAATTATTTATTGAATCGTTATGTATATTAAATTAATAATATGTTTTTTTTTTTTGTTAATAACTTTTAAGAATATGAATACAAACATTTGAAACTAATTCCGTGAATATAACACAGTATCTATTTCTGATTATGAGTCCAAAATATCCAGGAGGAAGGAATATTATGTAATCCTTATAGAAATAGAAATATGTCAAACATTTCATGAACATGACTCCACAATGACAATAATTAATTGTCTATAATAAAAATATTTTTTTGATTGTGTCAATTATGGATAATATTTACAGAAAATGTATTATTCTCTGCCAACCAACCATTAATAATTTATATGATTCGCTTATCAACACCTTCTGGCATGGATCTGCATTGGTGAAATTATTTAGTTTTAATTTAGTTTCTTTAACGTTATATTTTCTCGATTTAAGCATGAGGATTGGGCTTTGAAGAGTTATTATAACACAATAATACCTCTTCTCTTTGTCTTTGTAAATAGACGCAATGTTGGTCAAAGATGAAGAAACCAAGTATTCAAGTAGGCCCTATAGCCCAGTCAAATGGTCTTTTGAAATGGAAAGTTTTGGTGTAATTGTTTTCTTTTGTTTTCTTTATGTTTTTTGGGGTGCTGAATCCAAATTTGAAGTTTTCCAACAAAAATTTTATCGGCAAGTATGACATTTTTTGAAAAATAGGGTGAAAATTGTATTTATTTCTAGTTTTTGGCTCATAATTTATCGAATAATAATTTTTTCCAAATATCATCCTATACTAATGCAGAGCATACAATTTTCTACAGTTTATGTATCTATAACTTTTATCTACAACAAAGAAGTGTTTATCAAACTAAATTTAAAAGGTCTGCAAAATTCATTGATTTAGGAAAAAAGCAAAATTATTTCCGTTATGACTTCTCCAGGTTATAATAGGATGTAAAAGTGTAAAACGTCCCATAAATCTTGTTTTATTTATAAATATTAAACCCTTTTAATTTGAAAATACATGTACACCAACATAATGGTAGATACAAATGACTTTGATTAAGTTAAACTTTTTAATTTCTCCGAGTCTTCTTGGCCAACAGTACCATGATTTCTGCAGAGCTACTTTCAGGTTCTTTTTCACCTAAAACACCTTTCAAGATTTGGACCTTCAGTATGTGTGAATGCTTTACATAAGGCAGACTTGGCCTCTTTCCTGATACCAAAGTCATCGAATAGAGGCGTTGGGTACGGGCATAGTTCGTATTTCAAAAAGCCTTCAAGTTTCTCATCAGACTGCTTGGCAATTGTCATTCTGTAAACAATAGTAGTTGGATTGATAGGTACGATTAAGGTCATCATGTATTTTAAGGGAATGGATCATTGTGGGAAGTGGCAAAACTCTCTCTTTTCTGTAAAACTTTACCTGTTGAAAATCACTTCCCACGATTGGATTTTAAGCAATGTGGTCAATCTCCTTAGCCTTGTGGCAGTTTATATTGCTGTCTCCCACGACACCTGAGCTAAGAGACATCAGCGAATGGTTTGCGTTGCGTAAACCAATCATCTAACTTTCTTAAATCATTTCCATCTCTTTTGATTCTAGCTTCTCTCATTTTAACTGTTTGTTCAGAGCTGATTAATGTCACTCCACACATCTACTATTTTTTTGTAGTGATGTCATTCCTTTGTTCATCTGCACAGAAACCCTTCACTTACACCACGGTCATGGGTAAGCGCTCAAGCAATTTTCATTACTCTCATAAGAAATTGGTCTATGGACATGTCCGTCCATGATCCACTCCAGAACTTGTTGGTCCTTTGAACGGTAAATCCACCACCAATAAACTTTTAATATTCCTCAGGGCTCATTTTGTCTTTCAACGAGTGCACCTTGGACGAGGTACAGATTACAGCGCTTAGCATACAAGAAATGTCCACTTGCATGGAAATATGGTAGCATCTGATAAATAACTTTGAGGTGAAGGTTGCAGTTTGCCGATCTTTCAGCTTCTATGAATAGTTTAGCAAGTGTTAGCATCTCAAAGTTCCAAAGTTTAGAAGTAGCACCACGATGAGCTGAAATTTGGAGCCGAGCAGAAAACATGGTTTCCAATTTCTTTACACTGCTGTTTTCATTAGCTGACAGCGTAGCCGACATATTATAATTACGGAATAGCACTAAGAGTTCTTCTTAAAAATCTGGCGTCAAATCCATTGTATTGAAAATAAGTTTTGCCAAGCATGCATGGCATTTTTTATATGTGCTCTTTCGGCTCTTGAATAAGCATGTCCAGTCAGAATCTCTATTGAAAGCAGTGCATATATTGTACTAATCATCCATGATGTAACATATTGTCTTCAGAAAGGACATAAGTAGGTGGAACCCACCTATTCTGATAATGACATTGTCAAAATAATAATCACTTTGTAGACTATATAACTACTTGTTGGTCAAAAGTGTACACAGTTGCTTGTTGATTCACAGATTTGCACTGTTCCACTGAAGTTAGTAGTGTCGTGTATATTAGGCCTATGTTGTAATCAGATGGAGGCAAGCAAGCTACGAACGTTGTTTTAAAAGGGAGATTATTTGTAGTTTGTTTCATGAATCCACCCCATCCTAGAATGTCGGACACATCTTCCACTTGCTGAAATTCCACATCAAATCCACAACAGAGGGTTTGTCATTAAGTTGCCAAGATCCACAACTGTTATTTATCTTGTAGCCCATGAGAATTTCCGTTTTCAAAACGTTTAGAGGAAACAAACTCCCATCTCCCCAACTTCATGAGCGGGTAAAATACTTTTAAGTCTGTCTATTTTCTAATCTGGAGCAATAGCACTTTTCGTGTTATCATATGCATCCCCCCATTGCATGGAATTTATTATATCCATCCAACGTACGAGTATTAAGAAAAGTTGTTGTTATTCATTGTGAGCCTTGGTTGAAATATATAATTGATAAAATGGAAGAATTACCTTATCCAACCACAGTTGCTGGTATGACAACTAGTTTCGTTCCTTAGAACATCGTCAGGTCATTGTATTGTGACCGAATTCCCAACTCCATTGATCAAAAGGGTGAAGCCCTTGGTAGCGCAAAATCAATGGTGGGATTCCGGTACAATATTGCTGAGGTGGAGGACCAACAATGACAACACAAGAGCTGGCTGGACACAAATATGAGTTTATTCATTTCAATAAATATATATAAATGCGACAATAATACATAACAATAATAAATAGACATTGCCCTAGCCAAGATATAATAATTAAAGCTTTAAAAATATTTTAAAATTTCTTTAGTTAAAAAAAAAACAATTTAATTTAAAATGGAAATTCAAGTTAGGCCTAAATGACATTTAGTTGCAAAAACATTTAGTGTACTATCTCAAACAAATTTAAAACAAGTTAGCTTAGGTGGCTACCTTATAAAGATCATTTAAAACATTTAAAGGAAATTACTTTAGCCCTAGGCCTACATTTAAAATAAATAACTTTTACATTTACAAACATGAAAACATTTACACTATCAACAAATGTGGTCGCCTCGCAAAGACTATAAAATATATTCCAAAATATATTCCAAGCGGTAAAATAACCGTCAAGGGAGAAAAAAAAAGATTTTTACCCTCAATCAAGGGGTGTGAAACAGAATTAAAAGAATGGAATTTAAAAATTTGAATGAAAGTTAAAGTTAAATTAAATTTAGAGAATGAAAGCCTAATTAATAAAATTGCAGGTAAAAAGATTACAGGTTTTATTTTATAAGTTAAATGAAAACGTTGATGTGGAGTTAGATTTCTTCAGGTGGATGAGACTCTCCAAAAGGGCTGGACTGACCTGACCGTAAACCTTGTTGAAATCCAGGAAGCAGAAGTAGAAGTAGGGCCGAGTACAGGATGGCCGCTCCCCAGACATGGCAGCACGGCATTAGGCCGGAGTGGGCGTAGGCCTAGATGTGTAGGTAATTCCATCAGCAAGTGCCGCAGTGGCAGTGCGAGGACTGGCAGTGGCACGGCGCATCAGTCTCAGCGGTGCAGTCCAGGAGAATGCTCATGTTAAGTCAGTCAGCAACTAATGGTGGCAGGCTTCAGGTGGAGTCGCCAACCCTGATACAAAGTATAGATCACCGACCTGGCCTAATTAGGGCTAACATGTCTCAGAGTCCATATATTCAGTTTGCACTAGGCCTGAATAAATCAAAAGGGCGTAAAACATTCTCTTTACCTGCAGTCAGCGACCACATTTTTACAAAAGCTGTTCTAGTGTCTAGCCTAATCAAACATGGTTTTCTAAAGAATAGTAACATGATCTCACATGAATAAAAGTGCATGAATGTGCTTGCTTACTATTCACAAGTTTGAGAACAAATGAAATGGAAAATTAAAAGGTTATTATCTTGGCTAGGCTACTGTAATTGACCAGAGCAAAATTTAGGCTAGCAAAAGTTACTAGCACAACCAAAATTATAACTAGCCTAGAAACTTTTAATGTGATTGGGTCCAGACCAGCTCACAGTTAAACACAAAAATTACACAAAAATGACTCAAAGTTACACATACATGATGTTAACACTTTACTAACTTGGTCTTTTAACCTTAAACATGAAAATTGGCTCAACTTTTAATATCACATGTACTGAACAAGTTAACTCAACGAGGCATGCACATTGTGTTATCTAGTGGACTCGAAACTCTCAGAAAACAGTACAAAACACATCAAAATGACTCTATAAAACATTTCTGAACAATAGTGAAACAGTGAAAAATGAAACAAAATGAAATAAGCGAGGACTAGGCCAGGCGAATTCAACTTACCCGTGGTATGAAAACTCT